GAAGCGTGGGCCCTGTTTCCGAGGAGGCCATAGGCATGCAGGCCAGGTTTACACGCATGGGGCAATCTGGGGAACAATACAAGACAAGTATGACTCATCTGCTTTATATCAAAGTGAACAGAGGGTGCGGACAGAGCTGCTCATGTTAGCGTAAGCAATATGAAAAGAAATAGCACAGCAACTTTGAAAATACGCCACGGGGACAGGGGGACAGGAAGGAAGGAGTGTGGCCTGCAAAAGATAGGTGAAGAGTCCAGGCTGGAAGAAAACCTAAGCTAAGAGTTAGAACAAATTCCTCAGCAGTGTTTCATGTTTCAGGGGATGTTAACACAGTATGAATGCAAAGGCTGGATAATTATAAAACTGAATGAGATGAAAAGAGATCGAAGGGTTAGGAAAACAAATTGAGAATGAAATACAATTATATATCTAATAAATGATGTAGAAATAATAACATACAAGGCCAAAAATGAACAGCACAAAGGAAAGGCTCGAAACCATCGTAATCAATGCAGGGGGCAGGGAAAGACAGAGTTTAAAGCAATTAAAAGATGGGAGGTTGGGAGGACATATAAATACATAAATAAAGATCAGCTAATATAAGAATAATTAATAACCCCAGGAGGCTGAGGCGGGAGGATCACTTGAGGCCAGGAGTTGGAGGCTGCAGTGAGCTGTGATTGCGCCATTGCACTCCAGCCTGAGCAATAGAGCAAGATATCATCTTAAAAAAATAATAATAATAATTAATATCCTAAAGTAATAGAGAGTTACACAAATGAAATAGAAAAGATATTCAGGGATATAATAGAGTATAACACAAAAAAACTTCTCTTCAATAAAGGACTGAATTTACAGGATAAAAAGGACACACGGAACACCAGAAAAAAAATAGAGAATGATCAACGCTGAGAAATATCCTGTTCAAGTTATTGAACTCTAAAGCATAAAGAATTTTTCAGGAGTCCAAGCAGAAAAAAAAAAGTCATTACAAGAGGGAAAACCCAGGCTCAACTGAGACTTCTCCACATTCAACGCCAGAAGACAACAAAGGAACGTATGCAAAATCCAAGTGAAAGCACACATGGCCCACGGTCCCCAATGCAGGGGAACGGCGTCAGGTCTAAAGGCAACAGAGGCACATCAGATGTGATAGGCCTTGAAAATGCAATCTGACGACACAAGCCAGAAAACCACGAATGATTCCAGCTAAAGAACTCGGAGAAGACAGAGAAGCGGGGAAGAAAGGGCTGGTGGTGGGCGTTGTATCCATTAAATTATAGAATTGTTGCAGAGCAGAATAAAAACACGCAAAACTCCCAACAGACTAAAAATGATGTAAGCAATGAAAATCAGGAGGTGGGAGAGAGGGAGGTGGGATGCAGCGTAGGTTGCTAATCATTTTATCTTTCATAATAAGGATTCAGCCGGGCTGTCTGAAATGAAAGCATCATTTTAAAAATCAGTGACTACAGCCTCTTGAAACAATTCTGAAGAGTAATTTTTCTCACCCATAGAGGGATTTTACAGGTACGAATGTCTCTTGTGCTTAAGAAACATTTATCCAAGATTGAGTAATGCCTTCAGCTTCATTTTCCATTTTTTTCTATTATATATAAGCACAAATGCACTTAATATTTTCAGACTTTAAAAGTATGTAACACATGATCCCATTCTTACAAAGTTGCATATCTATTATTTATCTACCAACCATTCTATCTGTATTTATATTTTGAGATATGTCAGGACTGATGTTCAGCAAATATTGATGGTGGTTTTTTTTCTAGGTGGCGGGATTTGGGGCAATTTATGACTTCCTTCATTGCAGATTTTTGTGCTGCTTAAATTTTTATGTTATAATAAGCAGGTACCATTTTGACAGAAGTCGTCAAAATCATTACTTGGAAATACTACGGGGAAAGTTAAAGTAAGGGTAGTCAGAATCAGTCCTAGCGCAGAAGGGTGGGCCCTGCGGGCTGCAGTGTGGCGAATGCCGTGGTTTCCTTCCACCAGGCCGGCGGACGCCCTCTGCCAGCAGGGGTGGCCGGGTGAAGGAGAAGCCTTCTTGCAGGGGTGGAGCTGGGCCTTGAAGAAGGGTTTGGCCAGGCATTTATTTCATGAGTTACCCTACCTAACCTTCCTATGTCTATGGAGTAAGTAGTATATACTCCATTTTATGAGGAAACTGAGGCCACGGAGAGAAGCAAGGGAAGAACATGCTGGACAGAAGCACAAAGCACAGGCACTTGCGGGGAGACCAGGAACCTAGGCGCAGCAGGAGGCCGACTGGGAGTGCTCAGAGCGGGCCTCCCGGGCAGGCATCCCAGCCTGAGCAAGGAAGGTCCCACACAAAGGCTTCCAGCTGGGATCGTGTAGCTGCATGGAAACAAGGACTGCCTTCAGAACCAGCCCATAATGGCAGCGAGACAGGGCAGGGAAGGGAGCAGTGGCTGATGACAGCCATCGGACGTGGCGCCTGCCATGACACGCATGTCACGGCTGACAGGGTCCCGGGCACTGAGGCCAGCTCCCCGCAGCAGTGAGCAGTGCCTGGAGTAGGCGGCAGGTCCTCCGTGACACCCCTATGCCCGAGAGAGGAGGGAGCCGGGAAGACAGCAGCCACAGCAGCAGGCAGAGGTCATGGCCGTGACGACCCACCCCAGCCTGCGGGGCACGGAGACTCGGCACTCAGCTGGGGTCACGCTCTCAGAGATCATAGATGGCTCTCCTGCTCCTTTTGCCTCCCAAAAGGTCATTAAGTCATTAATTACACAGCAAGTGGCAATAAAATGGTCTCAGTCTGCTTCATCTTCCCCAGAGCCCAGGGCCTTGGGACCCACAACCCAAGAGTTCTGTTTTAAGCCAGTTGCTTTGCTTGGATCTGAGCTTCGATGTTCCAGTTGAAACTGATCGTGGCTGGATAGCAGAACTGTCACAGCACAGGAGTCCTGGCCCCATGACCTACCACTGGCAACCTTGGTGAAGCCACTCAGCCCTTCCCACGGCGAGACGGCCGGGATGACTGCTGGCCCAGGTATGCAGAGGGACCCAGAGCACCAGTCCTGCCCCATCATCGCTTTGACCTTCACAGCTCACTCCTTCCCTCCCCGGGGATGGAATTCCCAGACTCCACTCCCTCCCCCAAGACTCTGAAGCCACCTCATGGGACAAGCCAGAGGCGAAGGTACAGGCTCTTAAGTCCATAAATTTTATTTGAACCCTGGCTCTGCCACTCACTGGTCCTGTGACCCAGGCTGAGTTAACCTCCCAGAGCCTCGGTTTCCTCAGACATACAACGCAGACAATGCTATCTACCCCATATATCTGTCATGGGATGGCACCCCTTCCTGCTGTCCCCTTTCCTTATTGTCATGATTAAGAATTTCCTTCCCGCTCCTGTGCTATTCGGATCCGGACGCCGGCTGTGGGGCAGCCCAGCAGCCCTTCCGCCCAGCTCCTCTGGCCCTACTCGCCCCGCTTCCAGGGGCAGCAAGCCCAGGCGGGGTCCCGTTCCAGCCAACTCTGCTCTAGCAGGTGCCCTACCTGGGAGAAGGGAAGGGAAAGGAAGGAAAGAGGAGGGACAGAGAAAAGGCCCCACTCGATCTCTGGCCCTGGGGGACTTGGGGACTCGGAATCTAGCCCCAAATCTCCTCCTCACAACTTTGTTCAACACATATTTACAATGGCAACCTGGTGACAGGCCCCAGGAGAAGTGGCAAGGGGACCAGACAGCCCCTGCCCTCACAGAGCTTCTGGTGCACAGTGGAGCAGCCTTTCTTGGTGCTCACGAGGCTTCACGCCAGGCTGGGAAGAGCCCGAGACCTGGAGACCCCAGCGAGGCCCGGAGACCTCCTCCCCTCCTCCCCTCCTCCCCTCCTCCCCACTGTTTCTTGCCCAAAGAGCAACTGGCTCAGGAACCCAGTCCTCTGCTTCCCACCTGCCACCCCCGGTGTCTTCAGCCCACCCAACACCGCGTCCTTCGCCAGGGCCCGGGGTCCATCCCTTCTCCACTGGCCACCCCTGGGCCCAGCCAGGGAAGCTGGTCACAGAACCCCTGTAAGAAGCCAAGTCCCCCCTTCTGCTGTCCTGAGGATGGGAAAGCACAACAGCGGCTGGGCAGTGACTACCCCTTCCTGCCATGACACAGACTCTCCACTCCATGCCTGGCATGCTTGCGGGGTGACTGTCAGATGATGTAAATCTCCCAACGCAACAGGGACGCCCATCTAGACCAGGATTCGCCCACCCCCCGGACTCCTCATCGCGGCCCGACATTCCTGGAGGGAGCGGGGTTTCTACCACAAGCCAGTTGTGTAACCCTAGGCAGGTCCCTCTCCGCTCTCCGAGCGCACTTCCTCGTCTGTGAAACGGGGCAGCAACACCTGCTTTGTGGATGGTCGTGAGAACTAAATGAGGTCACGGATATAAAGACTTACGGCACATAGTGAGTGCTCAGTCAATAGTTGGTCACGTCTCCCCCCTTTCTGCTGGATCACCCTGCAAGACACAGCCTACCCACCATGGCATCTCCACTCACAGCAAGGGCGGGTTTGAGGACGCCCAGCCGGGATCCACGCACCTCTCTGGAGCAAGGCCCATCGCCCAGAACGTCCACGTGCCTGATCTGGAACCCAAGGATCTCGCTGGGCCATCTGTAGCTGTTAGGGTCAGAGGGCGAGGGTTGTTCTTGGTGGGTGGGGTTCTGGGTTCCTCATGCCTAATTCTGAGTGGCTTCCCTTTTATCTGCTTTATGTAGTAGGGTTCCAAATGTCGTTGTTCGAAATTTTTGGTGCCCCAAAGTTTGAGGTCACTTCTTTCTAACCTCATTGTATAGACTGGAGAGGCAGAGGCCTTGCCCGAGATCACAGAGGGCCCAGAGTGCGCAGCCCAGCAGTGAAGCCAGAGCTCGATGTGGGCTCACTGCAGCCCTGGGGCCGGTGGCTGCTATCCCCAGGGAGCCGCAGCCCCAAGCTTTCCTGGGCAGTGTTTGGACTCCAGCCTCAGCTGTCGACACCCCAGGGCACGGGCGGCGCATTCGGCTCCGGGTTCCCACTCTGTGGATTCTGGGGGCTCAGGGAGCACAGGTGCAGCTCCAGGGCAGAGAGCACCACACCACAGGCGGTGGACTCAGCCTGGACCCTATGAGCCCACAGACAACTTTGGACACCAGCCCAGGCACCCAGAGACCCCCCTAATAGGCAGTGTGAGGGCCCCTGTGTACAGGGACGGCGGTCAGTCAACAAAGGCTTTCCGTATACACGGGCACCTGGCGCCAGGTGCCGGCAGGACACAAAGGTGACCATGACACAGGCCCTGCCTGCAGGTTACTATTCACAGGAAGGGACTTTCAGGGGTGATGCGAATGTGCTGTATCTTGATTTTTATACATTATCAAAGCTCATCAAAAAGTATACTGAAGGTCTGTGCATTTTACTGCATGTAAAATGTACCTCAATGGCTAAAAAGAAAAAAATCACCTGAGGGAGTCAGACTGGGAAGGAGGAAAATTTTGAACTGGGGCCCCAGGTAGGTACATGCCTGCTCCACAATGGCCTGAGAACACAGGACACCACGCAGAGAGGGCGTGGGTCCTGTCCCCGCAGGAGGCCCTGGGAGTGCCGGAAGGACTGTCTGTCTGAGGCCAGGGCCAGACACGCCCATCTGTGTGTGCACGTTCCGCCAGCACCGCCCTCTGCGCAGGCCTCGCTCTAGGCTGGAGGACACACCAAGACCGGCCCCACCAGGTGCGGCTAACTCCCCCCTCCTTTCTCGTCCTCGGCCCCGCCCGCAGGGTCTGGGTGTGAGGCTGGGAGAGTTTGTCCACGTTACAGGAGGAGGACCTGTCTGCCTGCAGCCTCCTCTCCCTACAGCCCATGGATGGGTCTCCCCCGAGGGCCAGGGGCCAGGTCCACTGCTAGCTGGGGAAGCTGGGGACAGTCACAGCCCACTCACAGAGAGGGGCTCTGGGGAGCCGCAGCCACCCCAGGGAACAGGGCGTGAGCCGCCAGCGGCTTGGGGCGGCAGGCTGGGAGCTGTCTCATCGCTTGGGAAGCCGGATGCAAGCGCAGACAGCTCCCCTGACGCAGGTGGGGGGGGTGCTGTTGCCAGGGCAACAGGGGCTCTCACCTGGGCTGTCTGGGGGTGGAGGAAGTCCCGAAGTGAGCCTCCCGTGTACCCAGTGCACTTTCCCAGGGGTCCAGTGGGCCTGGCCTCCTGGTGGGGAAGGGGCAGCCCCTCCAGGCTCTGCAACAGGAGGCTCCTGGCTTTGGACAGCGCCGCTGGCCACGGCCCCCACAATAACCAGGCCACACCTATCTATCAGGTGAAAGCTCCCCCACCTTGTCCTCCCTGGGCCAAACCCATCCTTGCTCTCCCTAACCTCTTGTAACCGCCATGATGTGGCACGACTGGCCCCCCCCCCCCGCCATCTGCCCCATTCTGAGCTATCCTGGCCACATTCCCGAGCCCAGCCTGCCCCAGCTCCAGGACAAAGGCTGGAACTGTTCGCCTCCACGGTGAAACCCACCACGGGAGGAGCAGGGTGACCAAGGCCGTCCCCCAGCTCCAGAGGCTGCTCGGGGAGTTGTCAGTGCCCGTAGTGCTGCCAGGATGAGCCACATGGACCAACCCCCTAATCATTAAAAAAAAAAAAAAAGTAATTAAAAAAAACACACACACAATGCTCAGGAAGGAGTCTGAAAACGGTCAGCTCAGCAGACCTGGGGGCCTCTCCCCTCCCCAGCGTCAGGGAGCAGCAAGCCAAGAAACAGGGAGGGGCTGGGCTGGCCCCCAGGGCTCTCAGTGCTGGCGGCGCTGGCCACCCCCACTCAGCAGCCCTGCCCCCATGCAGCCTGCCAACGTCGCTCCGCCTGACACCGCCCAGGGCCCACTGCCCCAGCTAACACACACGGTCATTCCCGCGCTGGGCTGCAGGTGGGCTGTGCCGGCGGGGGCTGACATCAGAGAAGGGACAGGTCAGCAGTGTGGTGGCGGGTACTCAGTGCCAGGCGGAGGCTCTGAGGTCCACCACCCCATGGACATGGGAACTGCTCCTCAGCCACCATCCCATGGGCCCCCCCGAGCATGTACGTGGCCCGAGGCAGGGTGGGCTCCTGCCTTAGGATGTGTGTCCTCCGCAGCCGGGCCATGAGCTATGTGTAAGGGGACAGGCCCCGGGCGTGTGAACTATTTGTGGGGTTGGGAGGAGGTGAGGGGGACTGAGGGACAGGGCTCAGTGTCCCGGGCGAGGGGGATGTCCACACAGAGCACGGTCGTGGGTGGGGTGCAGGCCGGCAGGGCTTGCAGTGGGGTCTGGGGCTCTGCTGGGCAGCCTGTCCCCCAAGGGGAAGGTGGAGATTGCAGGTAGCAGCCATGGGGGTGAGACGATCTCTCTGGGCTGGGAGGAAGCCTCCCAGGTGCCGGCCAGGCCGCTCCTGCAGCAAGAAGAGCCCCTGCCCCCTTCCCTCGGGGGCCCACCCTTGTCGAGCCCATGCCCCACATCGTGGGTGCCTCACCAGGACACCACGTCCTAGGAGTGTGACATCGCTCTCAGCAGCCGGGGACACACCCCTGAGGTGCCTCTCCTCCTGCCCGGCTGGCCCGCGGCTGGGGTGGGCAAGGGTGGAGGGAAGGGCCCAGCTCCATCTCCAGAGAGGAGGCCTTGCCCAGGAGCCCAGCTCCAGCCCGAGGCCCCCAGTTAGGCCTGGCCTCGGTTCCCTGTCTCCAGCCCTGTCCACAGCCACCCCCATCCCTGTCAGGACACTCTGCGTCCTGCTCAGGCCATCCGAGCCCAGGACCTGAGGCAGCTCTGTTCTGGCCGAGCCCCTAGCACATCTCGTTGACCCTCAGGGAAACCCAGCAGTGACGCAGGGAAGACGTGGGGAGGGCCTGCTATGCAGCCTGGGCTTTGCGCTGTGTCCAGCAGGGAGAGGAGGAGGAGGAGGTCTGGTGTCCCGCCCTGCAGCTGGCAGGAAAGGGGGCAAAAAGAGACGCTGCCGAGGACAGGTAAGGAGGCCAAAGGGGCCTGGGAGCAGCAGGAGAGGGAAGATGGCTCCAGGCTGGTCCCACCGAGGCCCGTGCAGCCCCTCCCTCACACACACCGTCCAGGACCCCCGGCCGCCCCACTGACCACCGCTCTGAAGCTTCATGGTCCCCATAGCCTGAGTCTTTACCTGCAGCCGGCCTAGGGTGGAGTCTGCCCAGGCTGAGGACCATGGAGGCAGGGGAGGGGGAGGGGCTGGGGCAGGAGACACCCCTCACCTGGGGCCAGGTACAGGCTCCTGGGGCCACGTGCAGACAGACCGAGGGGGAGGGTAGGGGAGAAGGAGAACCTGCTGGTGCCCACCGCTCCACCCCTGCTCCAGCCCCACTTTCCATCCCTCTCTGCTCCTCTGCCCCCAGGCTGTCCCCAGATGTCACGAAGTGCCCACTCTCTCCCCGTGGGCCACCTCGGGCATCCAGGGCTTCTCTAGCCCCACTGTAAAGCCTGCGGTGTCCCCTGGTGGTCATGTCTGGGACGACAGATGGGCTGACACCTGGGACTTAGAGGAGGGGCCCAGGCCTGTTCTGTCCACCCCCCCCCCCACCGGACCCCGCCATGCTCTCCTGGGGCTCCTGCCCCTTACGTGGCGGGGAGGGGCCCCCGCTCCAGCCACCTTCCGCCTGCTCCAGCTGCTGTGCCCACAGCCGCTCCTCCGTGGTGCTGGAGAGCCGGGCCACACTGGCCTCCTGGGGGTGCGGGAGGAGATCTAGAATAACAGCAGCGGCATGATTTGGAGTGACAGTGAATCCCCACCACGGCGCTGGCTGGGGGGTTCTACTGTTATCTTCATTTTATGGATGAGGAACTGGGCTCAGGGATGCTAAATAACTCGCCCAAGACTACACCGCTAGTAAATGATGAACCACACATCCTGGACACCTAGAGCTTCCCTGCTGGGCGGGTCGGGGGTGAGAGGGGGACTTGTGGAGTCCACAGACTCAATCCCAGGACGAGAGCAGCCCTACAGGGGGAGAGTGGAAAGAGCAGTAAATTGTGAGTTTTGTTTTAAGCCCAGGTCTGCCACTCACTCGCTGTAGGACTCCGCGAGGCCCGGGGCCTTCTCCACCCAAAGGAGTCAGACCAGGCAATCCCACGAGTGCCCGAGCTGGAGCCTGGGCGCGGGCTGGAGGGCCAGGAAGGGCTGGGCTTGGCTGGGTTGCTCCTCAGCTTCCACAGAAAGACGCTGATGCCCCGGAGTTCTGATGGGAGGTGGTGGAGACGGGCCCTTCAAAAACTGTAGGTCAATGCTCAGTGATAGCTCATTCTCGTCCCAGCTCTCCTCTTTCCAGGAAGCACCTCCGCCAACTCCCTTAAAGCCCTTGGCTTCCCCTTCGAACGTAGCCAGCAAAGCCCTTCTCTCGCTCCCTAGGGACCGTGGGCGCCACCCCCCCCCCTCGGGCTTCTTTCTGGCGGTCCGAAGGTGCTTTCCCCGGCCCTGGCTCTGCGTGGGCCCTTCCACCTGGGAGTGCACTCCCCTCGCCTCTCTGCCTGGAGTCTCTGCCCCCCAGGCCTCAGCCCAGACCAGCTTGGGTCCCTGTGTCATAGGAGACCCACGGCACTCAGCCCTCACTTGGAGTACGGAATAGTTTGGTAAAATCTGGTAAGCCTGCAAAGACAGGGGGCCTGTTACTGTCCCCCCAGGGTCTGCTGCTGCACGTGGCATGCAGTAGACGCTCCAAAAACTTAGGAACCTCTGTGCACAGCCTGATGTGACAATCGGTCACCACCTGCTCGTGTTTCCACAGTAATGAGGCACTTGGCCCCGCCCTTGCTTTTACCCCCTCTCCTACGCCCACACCCCCTGACCTCATAGAGGCTGCTCAGTGGTGTCCCTACTCTCACCCAGGACTGGCTACAAGATCTGCAGTTCCAGTGCAAAATGGAAATGTGAGGGCTTTTTTTGTTAAAATTAAGAATTTCAAGATGGCAACAGCAGAGTGAGAGGCCTTTCTCCGTGGGGGCTCTGTGCAGCTGCCGCGCCCCGCCCAGCCTGAGACCCTTCTGATCACCATCTTCCATCCCCAACCCTGCACGTTCAACTCTGAGAGGGGATATAATAAGACATGATGAAACATGGGGTGTTGCAGCTCACACAACAACGCCTGCGTGTGCAGCGGCCCTTCCTCAGCGGAGGCGCCAGGGTCCCACCCACCAGGGGCCAGAGCAAAGGGGCAGCCCGCAGTGACGGGGGCAGAGAGCAGTTACCGCCTCTACAGCCAAACTCCAGGGGTAATAGGGCAACGTAATAGCTAGGAGACCTGGGTCACAACCTTTGAAGACAAACCTCCCCTGCCCCACTTCTTGGAATAAGAAAATCATTGCTAATCCTTCTCCCGCACTCAGCTGGGGTGAAGTTTTAACTGCAGAAGCCTAACTGACGGCGTCACCACGCCCTCCCAGGGGGCGGGCTGGGCCGGCAGATTGGAGGGCTGGGAGAGGGGCTGGGAGAGAGGCAGGGCGGGTGGGGGAGAGGCAGGCCCCAGCGACTCCTGCATGCTCAGGGCCCCTCGCGGGGCAGAGCGTCCCCACCACCTGCTGCAGGAACCTCGGCCGCTCCCTCTACCCACCGCTCTGTGAGCTCCGCCAGACCTTCCTGCAGCCTTTGCACCGTGGACCCGAGTCCGCAGCGCCTCCAGCTGCGTGGCAAGCAGCCAGCCCTGCAGCCCCACGCTGCCCACCGCCAGCAGCGACAGGACCGCCAGGAGCAGCCGGTCCCCGCGGCCACAGCTCAGGGCTCTGGTGCGGGCCCGTGGCGAGGAGTCCGCGGCTGCCGTTTCCCGCCTCGCCCGGCAGTGCCTCGCTTTACCTGCCCGGCACAAGGTCAGGCTGCGATCCCCCGCCAAGGGCGGCGCTACTGAGCTCCAGGAGCCCATAGTGAGACCCCGCTCGCGCACGCCGCCTCCGCGAGATGCGCTGCAGCTGCGAAGCCCCGGAAGGCGGGGCGAAGGTCGTCAGAGCAACGGGCTTCTGGTTGGCTGCTGACGTGCTCCCTCGGCCAATGAGAGGAAAGGGAGGGAAAGCTGGGCTTGCCGCCAGGTGAGTGCGGTGGACGGGGCGTGAGGCGGACGCACCTGGGCTGGGAGGGCAGGTGCCAACCTCAGAGAGAGCTCCAGGTAGGTCAGATGAGAATAGAGTCATCATTGCGCCTTCACTCTCTCACCACAGTAGACAGTCTCCAACGATTCTGTATTATTTTTCATAATTCAGTGCAGCTGTAAAAGCTTTTTTCCTGTGCAGGGTCATTGCACCTCAGGAATTATGTACGAGTAAAAGGCAATGTAATACAGTTTAAAAATTAGACATGTGAAACATCTCACACCTGAAAATTAGGAGCAGAAAACATGCAACTCAGTTGAATAAATCTGCATTTAAACCTAATAAATTTAGGTTTGTAACCTAAATTAATGCATTGAACAGCACTCTTTCAACTGCTGTATATTAGATATGAAAATCAGTTAAGGTGAGTCAGGAGAGGTGAGAAAAGCAAGGTAGGAGGGAGGGGACGGGGGAGAGAGAGATTCAAATATTTTGTGCAATAGTTTATTCCTTTTACTTATTTTATTGTTAAATATACATACAAGAATGTGTTAGGTACTTTTATTTTTATTTTGGTTTAAAGAATGATAATAAAATTAACTCCACGTTACCACTACCCAAATTAAGAAATAGACCATTACCGATTCCTTAAAGTCCTCCCTCTTGGTCCCTCCCCAATCTTATTCTCTTCCTTCCCCCCAGGAGTAACTGCTACGCTGATACCTACTTTATTGAATCCTTTGCTTTTTTTTTTTCACCCAAGAGACAGGATCTCTCTCATTCACCCAGGCTCGAGCGCAGTGGCACAATCACACTTACTGTGATTCTCCCACCTCCGCCACCCAGTCGCCAGGACTACAGGTGGGCACCACCACTTTCACTATTTTTTAAAAAAAATTTTTTTTGTAAAGACCAAGACTCACTATGTTGCCCAGGCTGGTCTCAAACTCCTGGCCTCAAGTGATCCTCCTGCCTTGGCCTCCCAAAGTGCTGGGATTACAGGCATGAGAGCCACTGCGCCCAGACTCCTTTTGCTTTTTTTTTTTTTAATCGTGTGCCGTGTATGTATGCATCCTTAAACAACAAAGTTTTGGTTATGCTTAGTTTTGACCTTTATATATTGGATTTGTACTGTGTGTAGTTTATGTAGTTTGTTTCTTTCAATCAAATTGTTTTTGCAACATGTCCATGTTGCTGAATGAAGCAGTTCTTCGGTCCTTTTCAAACCTTTATATTTCATTTTTTACCCGTTCTACTGTTGATTGATATTGGGTTGTTTCCTGTTTGCAGACACTGTAATAGCCACAATGCTGCTATGAACATTCTTTTACACTGGGCACATGTGCAAAGGTTTATTTATTGTCTAGCGTATACACCTAGGTGTGGAATCGCTGGGTCATAGGGTATAATTCCCATGGCTGCTTGATCAGGTAATTGTTGATTGTTTCCCAGTTCACACCCCATGGCTTCGCAGTCTCACAAACACTTGTGACAGATTATTCAGTTTTGCCAATCCGATAGAGGTGAAATGTTATATGATTGCAGTTTAAATGTGCACTTTTAGAGTTACAAATGAAGTTGAACATCTTTTCATATATATGAGCCAATATTTATATTACCTCTTGTTTGAAATGTCTGTTTATCTTTTGCCAGTTTTTCTCTTGAGATGTTTTTCTAATTGATTTGGAGGGTTCTTTATGGACATTAATGATAGACAATAATTCTTTGATAGACATTTTCATGGCAAATATTTCTCCTAACCTGTGGCTTATCCTTTCCCATGCTTCATTTTCTTTTGACGAAAACATGTGCCTAATTTTAATATAGTCAAATTGATAATACTTTCCTTTATGGCTTTGCTTTTGGCATCTTGTTCAAGAAATCCTTCCCTATCTCGAAGTAGAGATAAGAGAAATCTCAAGGAAAAGGGCTCTGTGGGTTTCCTTGATCGGGGTAGGATGCATCATAGCCAAAATAGACAACGGTCAGCTGTCCATGCCGCTGCCTCTGGGGGGCACCCGTGGTCTATTTGGGGTGGGCAATTATCTCTCCCATCCAGAAAGCTCTCCCGCAGACACACATTCCCATTCCTCAGAAAGGCGTGTTTGACTTCCGTCCTCAGCCCTCCTCCTGTGACCCGCGCCCCTTCCTTCCCAGGCCTGGCCTGCCACTGGGTGCAAGGGGAGCCGTGGGCAGCAGAAGCCGGGGGCTGAGCAGAGGGAGCGAAGAGCACACTGTTCTGGCTCATCCGGTGACCCGCTTGGTCTCAGGGCTGATGTCCTGGGGGGGGGTGGGGGGCAGGCCGGAAACTCTGGAATATTGCCTGGGAGTCTGAGACGTTCAGGGGCCCTGCTTTGAGGATGAGGGAGGACAAGAGCTGTGGAGGCAGTGGTGGGTCACACAGAGGTCCTTCCGGGGAAGGGAGCACCCCATCCCACCTGCGATGGGGGCAGTGGGGCCGTGGCGAGAGTCACATTCTCATGCACTTGATGGTCTCCCTCATTCCCTTCTGGAGGGGCCCACAGGGCAGATCCTGGAGCAGGGCTCTCCCTGACCCAGACCCCTTCTGGCCCCCGAGAGTGACAGGTATAGGGCAGTCCTAGGCAGTCCCAGCCCTGTGGTCCCCGCATGTGTGACACCCAAGGAGGCCTCCAGACTGGCCGCTCACGGGATTTCTGGGAGACGGGAGTGCAGGAGACACCGGCTGGGAGGGAGGCCTCTCCCCCACACAGACCGCCCCCCAACCTTCCTCGGCTTTCCCGCCCTTGCAGTCAACTGTGCAGGCCTGGGCTGCAGGAGAAGAGCCCAGTTCTGAGCCCACTCTTCCCTCGAACCAGAATGCTCCCATCCTCCCAACTGCAGCCTGGTATAACGGCGTTGCTTTGGGAATCTTTCCTCCAACACACCAACCCCAAATTAATTTGCAAATGATTTTCCTGTTATTAGCCTAATGCTTTAATGAAGAAAAGTACAGAAAGCACTCCCCGCCACACACACACACACATGCCCTGGATGCTCTAGTCCTCACCCAGGTCCTCTGACCTCCTTTCCTCTTCCCTCCCTGTAGTCACAGCTGGCTCTACTGTTCCCACCCTCCCTCCAAGGGGCCCAGCCTAGGAAAACGAGGAGCTGGCCCCACCCTGTAGACAGGTGTTCTCTAGATCTTCTGAAGTGGAGAAGAAAGAAGCCCACAGGTGAGGGTCCCCAAGTCTCACTGTCATTCTGCTCAGTGACTTAGCTTGGGGCTGGGAGACTTAATGCCCCCCACCCCGCCAGTTTTCTTCCCCAAGGACTCCGTGTCCGCCTGGCCAAACTTCCCAGGCAGCCTCCTCACGCCTGTCTTCCTAGGGCTCTGGGCATGGCCTCCATCCTTGGGGCCTGGCTCCTGGGGCCAGCGTGGGTTTCAGGAGTGAAGCTTCAGGGATCCAGGGCCATCCCAGGGCGAGGCAGGGCTAGGAGCTGGGTTCTGCAAGACACAGGATATTCCAGCTGGTCCAGATGGGCAGCTGCCCACCCCCGACACCTGTTCAGTGGTGAAGATTTGCAATACACTGTGGGGTTAGGTCTCTAGGCTCTGCGGCCAGGGGTGGTGGTTCAAATCCAGAGCCATCATGCACTCTCTGAGTTTGGCCAAAATCCTTCCCTGGCCTCTTGGGCAACCATAACCACCCCCAAATACCAGCATCTTTCCAGAACTGTGTGCATGTACAAGCTGGGGCACTTTGAGAGTGGCTTCCCAAATGCCTTGGCATAGATGCTACAGAGAGAAGAGATGTTCCGGTCCGGTGCTGAAGGGCCATTTTTACATAAGGGTCAATTCTGAATAACTAAAAATACTGAGGGATTACATTTTTTTTTTGCTATGCAAAATGTTTTAAGTACTATTGGGAGGAAAATGTTTTCTTATTAATACCTATTATTTGCTTTAAGGGGACTAGTAATGACAGAATCAGCGTGGGTTTTTTTCAGGCACTTAATGTCCGTGTCTGGGCACATTTATGAAAGAGCAACATGGCAGAAGCCTCTTAATCTCTCACTCTGAAAGGTGTTCAAGGCCTCCGGGGGCGCTTCGGGGGAGTGGAGGGCAGTATGCACAGCCCCTTAGATCAAGAGTCGCTTGTCTCGTCCAAATACTTCCTTTTGCAAATGGGCAAACCAAGCCCCCAGGAGGGAGCGTGATGGGCAGGTGAAAGGGCGGGCGAGCATCCTGTTCTCCTGACCTCCCGCTGGGTCACTCTAGGGTGGGGACAGGCCCCTGTGAGGGCTCCCTGAAGGCAGACAGGTGGCTGCTCCTCGTGCTCTCCTTCCCGTGCCCCGCCAGCTTGGCCCGCCGCCAGGACAGGCAGCATTACCTACGACAATGAGGGTGGCGGTGCTGACAGCCTGGCCCAGCGTGTTCTCCGCCACAGCCTTGTACTCGCCGCTGTCCTCGAGGGCGACGCTGGGGATGACGAGGGAACACACGCCCAGCAAGTCGGTGCTGTACACTGCAGGATTCCCTTCCAGGCTCTGGTCGTTCTTGAACCAGGTGACGCGGGGCCGGGGCGAGCCCTGCACGGCGCAACTCATGCAGCACTCGCAGCCCTGGGGCAGCAGGTGGGTCCGCAGCCCTACCAGGAACCGGGGCTTCTGGCTCAGGTCGGGCTCCCGGTAGCTGGGGGCCTTCACGGTGAACCTGTCTGCGGGGGAAGCAAGGTGCGGAGGGAGCAGGGTCAGAACCGAGCAAGTCCTGGCTGAGGCCCACGTCTGGGCAGAAGGCTCACGGTGCTGCTCTGTAGGCATTTCCCGGGCCTTCCTGCCACCTCTTACCTGCAAATGCGAACCCCGAGGCTTGACTCATTTTTTTATCCTTTTCCTAAAATTTTTTGGATTTTTTTTTTTTTTTTTACTACAAGCTATTATAACACACATTCACTTGTGGACAAATTAGAATATATGGAAAATCAAAAGAAGAAAGAATAAAAACCAATCATAATCTCACTATAAAATAAGCACAGCTCACATTTTGGTGTAGAACCTTCCAGACATGTTTATATTTTATAAAAATGAAATCATCTATTTGATTTTATAACCTGATTTTTCTAGTGACTGCTTTTAAGATCCACATCTATTTGCCTGCAAGACACACTTTGTTTTCAGAGAAACATTAACCTCCGTTTGCCTTGTTGCCTGTCACTGCCTTTGCAAATGCACCCAAAGGCATCCCAGACTCCCAAACACCCGCGTCTGGCTCGTTCTTCCCACGGAGCGGGACCACCCGAGTGAGGGACGCAGAGGACATCAGCGCAGGCGGTGGAAAGAGCAGCAGCTCAGGGCTGCTGGGTCCTCATTTGGGACATCTCTGCCAGCGCGGTCCCCAGCCCCCACCCCGCGCTCCGCCACCTCTGGGCTGCGGCGCAGAGCACAGCCCCCACCCTGGCCGCTCCTCCCTCCAGGACCGCTCACCGCGCTGCCGGGGGATGCTCCAGGGCTGGCTGGGGTCCGAGGGTCTGCTGGCCCCCAGCTCATTCTTGGCCACCACCCGGAAGCGGTACTCATGGCCGGGGAGGACGCCCAGGAGGGTGAAGCGGTTGGTGTGGACGCGGTCCGCCGCCTCGCGCCAGGAGCCGTCCGCCGAGGAGCGCGTCTGCACCGCGTAGTGCAGCGGGATGCCCCGGGCCTCGTCCGGAGAGGGCTCCCACTCGGCCGTCACCGTCCCAGGCACGTTCTCCTGCAGGTGGATGGGCCCAGGCGGCTGCGGACACGCTTCAAGAGAGGGGGCAGAGAGAGCCCGCGTTGGAGGGGACCCAGTGGGACTGCTGCGTGGTCCTCCCGGGGGTCCCCAAGTCTTCCGGGGGTCCTGGGGAATGCAGTCTTGCCACGCAGGTAGCTGCAGCCAGAGAGAGCTTGGCTGGGAGTCTACAGTTATCTCTAGAGGGTGGAAAATCTCCCCCAAAAGAATGATTTTAGCTCACTGTAGTTTTTAAGTAAAATGACACAGTGCTTTTTTGGACAGAGGTAGGGGCTTTCAGGAAGCCTAGCTACAGAACCCCACTGTTAGCCTATTCGTCATTTCCTATATCCGGGAACTCCTCCAGGGCAGGGGCTGGGGGGGCTGCAGTGCACAAGGACAGCCTTTATCTCCTGCAAGGGCCACAGACGGTCCTGCCCACCGGGTCTTTCGAGTGATGTCACCGTGGTGACCGCCTTCACCCACTGACTCAACCAGAAGAATAACTGAGGTTCCAGGAGGGGATGTGGCATGACTGTCCCTAAGTTCTCGAGACAGAAGAACAACGAAAGCCCCTCAGGGAATCTTCCTTGGCCTTTCCTCCTTCCTGCCTTCAAGCATACAGGAAGGGGGCAGTGTGGTCACCTTGCGTACCCAGCCCTTATAAGACGGCTGAGACCTGTGACCACACCAGATGGAAACCTCCGTGCCTCATGAGTGGCCGAGCCAGCGTCTGGGGCCCAGAGCCAGGCCCGCCTCACCTGCCACCCTGATGCGGAAACTGCGGGCAACCTCCTTCCCCTGAAGGCCCCTCAGCACCACGGTGTAGAGGCCGCTGTCCGAGAGGCTGGCCACAGGAATCAGAAGCTGTGTAAGGCCGTCCTTGGTGGTGGTCACGCTTCTTTTGGGCAAGGGCAAGCCATCCTTCAGCCAGGTCACCTTAGGCATGGGGGCAGCCTGGGAAACGAGAGGAAGGAAAGGACGAGAAGGGGAAGTTCTGTGGACGTGATGGCATTTAAGCTGGGCCTAAGGCAGACGTGGCGAGAAGAGCCTTCTAGGAGCAGGAGGGTCGGGGATGTAACACACGGGTGGAAGGTGCGTGTTGGGGAGCAGGCTGGTAGAGCGGTGGTGATGAAGGGTGCGGTTGGCAGGGGGGTGTCGCAGGGGGTGGTGGAACAGGAAGGAAGGCTGGACAGGGAGGTAAAGCAAAAATGTGAAGTGCCCTCCATGTCACACCATGCAGACATCCGGATTTTACTCTGAAAGCCATGAGCTGCTGTTGTAGAGTTTGAGCAGGAAACACAGTTAGCTCTGGATTGACATGGGGGTGCTGGAGGGGAGCGAGAAGGGACTCCCAGGGAGGGCAGTGCCCGAGACCAAGTCGGGGAGGACGTGGGAATCCCTGCATAGTCCAGGAAGGAGATCGTGGTGGCCTAGCCTTGAACTGTGGCGACCCTGAGCAGGGAGGGGAGGTCAGCCCAGCTGCATGGTGACCATGCCGCCAACCCCCCATAGGGCCCTTGGTACTGGGCACACTGGGCATCAGAGTCAAATGGGCATGAGCAGTGACTTAGCTCATGGCACTGTTCTGAGGATTTAGGGAGCTAATCCCACATGGGAAGCACAGAGAACAGGCCTAGGACATGGCAAACTCTCAGTGTGTGAAATACTTTGCCATCGTTATCGGTGTTGCTCTTAAGGTCTAATAGTTAAGAACAAGTGATTTAGAGTAAGACAGATCTGGGTTTGAATCTGGCTCTGACACCTATGAGCTTCCTACACAGATGATGATGATGGTTTTAAATAATAACGATGATGATAATTATTATTATTATACGTAATCATTATGTAATAATAATGACATACTGAGTGCTTGCTATATGCCAGCCCTGTTAATGTGCTTTCAGTATATTAACTACTTGAATCCTCAGAACAACGCTTTGATATAGGTTACTATTATCCCACTTGACAGATGAAGAAGTTGAAACACAGAATGGTTAAGATATTTGTCCAAAGTCAAACAGCTAGTGAATGATGATGTCGGAATTTGGACCCAAGCGGTTTGTACTTGTAACCACCATGCTATACATTCAGGTGGTGTTGCTGGTGATTGGGGATCATCCTGAGTCAAATGCAGGTCATATGTTTGCACAAAAATACATTCTGAAGTCAAAGGGGATTGTCTACACCGCAGGCCCCCTGAAGTCCCAGACTACAGACAGGTGGAGAAAAGTGAGTGGCCTGGTTTGGAGATGCAGTACCAGAAGCTACCACTAGAGGGATCTGCAGACCGAAAGCAGAATGGCCGCCCCGTGGCCAGGTGAGAGCTGTGCCTTCACGAAGGCAGGTCTGGCCTGATTTCAGCGCGAGCCCAGGTCACTGACTAGGGGTCAAAAAGGAACAGGGGCGAAGAGAACTGCAGGGCTGAGTCTGGCTCCCTTGGCCTCTCCGGACTCCCCTCCCGCACCCCTTGAGGGACACTCACTTCAAAGGAGACCGGCACGCTGACGGTGTCCCCAGCCTTGACCAACAGCGAGTCCTTTGTGTGGGAGTCCACGAGGAACTTGGGACAGACTGGAACACACAAGATGGCTTGTCACTTCCTTCTACAGCTGGGCCCCAGCCCCAGGTCCCCAGGGCAGGGCTGGAGGGGAAGGCTGGGCCCGTCTGTTTGGTGCTGAGATCGCAAAGGACTGGGGGCTTTAAAGGAACTGGAGGGGGGTTCGGAGGATGGTCCTGGGGGGAACCCCAGCAGCTGGTGGGGAGATGCCAGCAGGAGAGGGACAGGAGCTGAGAAAGGGACGCCACAGGGAGAGGGTTAGGGACAGGCTGGAACACAGGAAGTGATACATGGTGGAGCTCTTTGCTTTGCAGATGAGATAACCAGCAGTCTGAGTCAGAAGTGACTTGCCTGAGGTCACACCGAGTTAGGGACAGATTCTGGGATGCTGGACTAGGTGCTGTGTGCACATCTCCCTTATTGTCACAGTGACAACTAGGGTGAGTGAGGTGGCCCAGTGCCAGCTTGGGTCAAAGACAGGTCAGCTGCTTCTAGCAATTAAAGCCCAAAGGGAAAGACAATCCCCCTTTAGACAACAGGGAGCCGGGGCATGTCTCATTCTGAGCGTGAACTGGGTGAGCTGAGCTGTGTTTATGCCTCCTGAGGCCATCCATGCCTGGGAAGCAGCAGCTCTCTGTCCTGGAGAGAGCACCACCTTTGGAGTCACTGGGCTTAAATCCTGGCTCTGCCACATACCCATGGTGAGACCTTGGGCAAAGTACCTTGGACCTCAGTTTCCTTCTCTGTAAACTGGGGATGAAAATATTGACCTTGTAGGACTGCGATAAGTTGGAATGAGAAAACATTTCCAAAAAGGGCCTGCCTAGCCCAGTGCCTAGCACACTGTAGGTGCTCAATGAATAGTACTTCACGAAACTGGGGAAGGGGATCTTGGCTCTGCAAGTGCTTGGTGGCTGCTCAGAGGTACCTCTCAGGAAGGGCGTGCAGGCTCAGGGGCAGGGAAGGAGGTGGCACTAACCAGTGGTGGGCATCGCTTGCACTAACGTGTCCAGGGCAGTGGGCTGGCCGTGGCCTCCTTCATTAACTGCTGTCACTCGCACGAAGTAGCCTTCTTGGGGCCGAAGCCCCTTGACCGTGTAGGTGGTGACTGGCACGGTGCCCGTGTGGCATGGCATCCACTGGACACTGTCTGAGCGACACAGCTCCACCACGTAGCCCTGGGCTTCGTCCCCATCCTGGGTATCCGGTCCGGCCCAGCTCAGGGTGATGCTGGTGTTTGTCGTGTCTGTGACTTGGAGATTCCGCACGCGCCCAGGAGGTCCTGGCCAGACCGCATGGGAACGTCAGGAATGGCATCACCCTCCCCCAAGGGAGGCCACTCAGCGTGGATATTCATTAGCCTTCCCTGTGGGAGTCTGGGGATTTCTTTCACTTAGTGACTCTGCCTTCAGGCCTCCCCGAAGCACCCACCTGGAACCAATTCCTCACTCCAGCCAGCGCTTTGCCTCAGGTGTGCACCCAGACCCCCAGGCTGCCTCCTCCAGGAAGCCTCCCCCAACGCACGCCACTCATTCCCCCACCTGCCAAGCCTCTTGCCCTAACTATCCTTCTGTGATTCCTGAAAACCGAAACTCTTAGGTTCCTTTAGCGCTGAATGCTAGAATTCTGTGTCCTTTTATTCTGAACTCCAAGCTCTTAGAGTCCAGACTCTGCCTTTTGGGCACTCCATGCGGGCTCCTTGTTCTTCACCTGTCAAACAGGAACAATAATAACAACCCGACCTATGCACAGGGGTCTGGGCACAGGCGAAAGGCGTGGCGTGTGACAGGGCTTTGGAAATTGCAGCAGTCCACGGCTCTGGCCCCCAAGCCTGGCTGCGCTTTGGAACGGCCTGGGGCGCTTAAAAATCCTGGTGCCTCGACGCCACCCCCAGAGATTCTGATTTTAGTCTGGGGCGCAGCCTGGGTAGCAGGACTTTTAAGAGCTCTCCAGGTGTTCCTAAATATGCAGCGAAGTTTGAAAGCCACCAATCTAGGGCCGTGCTTCTCAAACTTTAATTAGTAGACAAATTACTTGGGGATTTTGTTAAAAATACAGCTCCTAATTCAGTAGGTCTGGGGTGAGGCCTAAGATTCAGCATTTCTAGTAAGTTCCCGGGTGACGTTGCCAGGCCACGGGCCTTGCTTAGTTGCAAGAATCAGTGAAATGTAGTCACTGCTGGGGCTACTGTTGGACACCACTCATCCTGCCTATTGTCTCCACTCCCCGTTACTGATAAGAGAGAGATGAACAGTAAAACAGGATGGGTCTGTCCGCTCGCAAGGGATCTGATGCCTGGGCCAGCTTTCCTCCTCCATCCCTCCCTTCCATGCTCTGTCCTTCCTGGGACTAAAACTTAGATGCCACTGGAACAATTAAACTGGCAGAATGTTCTATTCTTGTTGGGTTCGTTCGGACAGCCCGCACACCTACAGTGCGCCAGGCCCTGTGGGACACAAAGATGCTCTTGAGGTGTTTTGCTACCTGGCCAAGCCAGCAAGTGCCAGAAATGCGCCGCTCCTCGGTGACATGGCATTGGCAGCTCGTGAGGGGATAAGGAACACAGAACAGCATTTTCTAAGTTGTACACCTTGGAGTGAAGTTTTTAGCAGGTATTTTGCGGACAAGGTATTCTCTACTCAAATTTGGGAGATTTGGATCAAAGAAAGTTAGACAGGTTTTGGGTTTTTTTCCCCTGCAGGACTTGGAAATATCACAGACTCGTGTCATGCGCATCTTTGATCACAGACCTTTGTTGCTGTCTCCCTCATTCTCAAAATGTTTGTTGGCATCTCTGAGTACACTGACGCTCCCAGGACCACAGACAGGGAAATGCTGTCCTAGACTGTCAGTTTCTCGAGGGCAGAGATCAGGACTGACTCACCCAGTTCCTGGCACAAAGCAGCCGCCTAGCCGGTGACGGGCAAGTATTCAGCGGATAGAGAACAGAGGCTGAGGTTTCTCTGCTACCCGCCCTCCCGCCCTCCATTCCCCGGTGGGGATGTAACCCCTCACTGGAGTGAGTGGGTGGCTGTCAAACTGAGACAGGTAGGCCAGCCTGGGGACAGACCTGTCTGGAGGCCAAAGACTGAGCGAAGTGATCTTGGAAGGAGTCTTCTAGTCCCCACTGCCTGGCCTCTGGGCCTGTTTGACCTCGGTGCACGGCCCTGAGAGCCTTTCAGCCTTTATCTTCCAGCCCTCCTGACCGCTGCTTCAGGACTGCCCCTGACCTGTGACCCCCTGACCTGTCCCACCCAGCTTCAGAGCTATCCCGTGCTCCCCCATCGCGAGCTGCTGCTGTACTCACTCATGGGGTCCCGGGCGAACACAGCATCCGAAGGGGGCCCAGGCTCTCCAGGGCCTGAGGGAGCCACTGCCGTCACCCGGAACTCGTACTGACAGCCCTGCCGCACGTCCACCACCGTCCACCTCCTCTCTGTGAACAGCCCACCCAACGTCAGTCCCGCCCCGTGGGGACCAGGCGATGGGGAGATAGCTCGATGCCTCCGAGTTCTGGAGAAGACCGAGCCTGGGGTCCTAAACGCCCTCCGCCAGCCAGCCAGGTGTGACCCAGCTCTCTCCAAGGGGAAAAGAGCTCTGCTCAGGGTGTCAGGGAGCCCGAACCCCTGTCCGGTTCTGCCACTAACGGCTGGGTGATCTTGGGCAAGCGCCTCGCTCCCTCCTGTTCTCCCTGCCTTACAGCGTTGTTGTCGTGTTCAAATTAAACAGCATCACTAACTAGTGAAGTTGGATGGGGCCCTCAGTTCATCCAGAGAGGAGGAAACCGAGGCCCTGGCTCCTGAGTGGCACAGCAAGACCAGATCCCAGGTCTCCCGGCAAGCTGTTCTGAGCCGTCCTGTCCTCCACCACCCTGCCTCCCGCGGCATGCACGTGGAGCGCAGAAACGCGATGGTGTCCCCTCTGCCTCTGCCCAACCTTTGGCTTTTCCAAGTGCGTTCTCATCTCAGAGAACAGACAGTTTTGCAGGAAACTACTAAGTGGGGAGGGGACCCTTCTCTCCACTTATTGGGTGAGGAAACTGAGATCCAGAGAGGAAGTGGCTGCCCAAGGTCACGGCCAGGAGTGGAGGGGCCAAGGCCAGCAGCTTCACCCCTGGCTTCCGGCCAGGACTTCTCCTAAACCAGAGCTTCTCAGCCTCAGCACAGTGATGGTTTTTGCCAGATAATTATTTTATTATTATTATTTTTTAACGGGGCATGAGTTCCTTCCTGTGTGCCACAGGATCCTTAGCAGCTTCCCCGGCTTCTTCACTCCAGATGCCGGTCACATCTAACCCCCACCCGGCTGAGACCGTCAAAAACATCTCCAGATGTTGCCAAATGTTCGCTAGGGGGACAGACCCACCCCAGATGAGACCTACTGTGTCAGACCAATCTGGACTGATAGTGTCAACAGATCCTGGGGCCAAGGGGGGTCTGAGGGAACTTCCCAGGACAACGAGGAGACCCTGGGCCTGCTTACCAGGGACAGGCTGGTCATTCACTGCCGTCCAGGTGCTGCTCCCCATCTTGCGCTTCTCAATCAGGTAGCCCAGGACGTGGGCACTGCCAGGGCCCCGCGGTGCTGTCCATGTTAGTGTGATGCCCCGGCTGGAGGCCGACAGGATGGCCGGGGCAGAAGGCACCCCGGGGAGAGCTGGGAACAGAGAAGGTGCTGGTCAGTCAGGGGCCAATGACAGGCGCCAGCCATGTGGAGGCCCCGGGGCTAGAAGGCTCAGGGCATCTGGGGGCAGGCCACACTCTGTCCTCTCCTGGGGCACGTCGGGGCTGAGCCCGTGTCCGGGACACTGTCCTGGCTGTTCAGGGGCAGGAATGATGGGACAGAGAAGTCGCTTTGGTGCAGGAGTCTAGAGCCAGTCCTGAGACCGCTCAGCCTCGCGTCCCCTGAGAGGATGCCCCGGACTGCAGGCATCCGATGGAGGCGGATGCTGGTCCCTACCTGGGTCCTCACAGGGCTTTTGCTTGCCCGGCCCCTCCCCCTGGAGACCCCGTAAACCTCATTTCCAGGTCCCAGAGGCAGCTGAGGTACGGAGTCTGCAGAGTGCCCTAAAAGGGCCTCCCGACCCCAGGCACAGGCTGGTGTCGCTCAGCCTCCGTGGCAGACCTGCCCCTCTGGGTGCAGTGGGGAGCCCGGGGGTGTCCCTAGCCCCAGCCCCAGCCTTTTCTCTCACCCTCAGGAGCCACCAGGACCTCCTCAGACTCCAGGGCCTCGCCGGCCCCCTCGGAGGTCACGGCCCGCACGCGGAAGGCGTACTTCCGGCCCCGCTCCACCTGGGCGTCGGTGAAGCTGGTGCCGTCTGCGGGGGCCTCGCCCACCTTCAGCCAGGTGCTCCTGCCAGCCTGTCGCCTCTCCACCACGTAGTGCTCCACGGCCCGGCCCCCATCATCTCTCGGGGGCCGCCAGCGGAGGCGGACACCAGCCTCGTGGCGATCCTGCACCTCCAGGGGGCCCTGCGGGGGCTCAGGCTTGTCTGGGGACCCACCGAGAGGGGCAGGAAGAGAAGGGGGTCAGACGAGGTGGGGGAGTGTGCTGGTCTCCCTCTCGTCAGTGGATAAGCCTGCAGAGGGTGGGCTGCCCGAGGTCCACATGTTCCCTGAGACGGCCAGGTGTCCCTGGGCTCCACCCCCAACCCACACGGGCACACTCAGGGACGTGCCACAGGACGCACCAGCCCACCCCGGCCCCGCCATTCCGTGGCTGGTATGGGCACTGCTCAGCCTACAAGAGTCCTGCCTTGCTGGCACCACTCGAGGCTGGGGGCCACCGTTCCACCCAGCAACTTCCCTAAGGCCCCGCGGGTTGGGGTCAGAGAAGCACAACCACCTCCTCCCCCAGCAGAAGCCCAGCCCTTCGTTCGCCTAAACTGCCTCCTCCTAGCCCGTGTGGGGAGGGGAGAGAGGGCAGGGAGGGGTGGGTTTGACCTTAAACAGCACGCACATAAGGACCAGGGCCAGCAGACATCACCCCCAGACCTGCCCCTGCTGGCAGGGAGGGCTGGAGCCCCAGCGACCCTCGGGCCGTGGCCGGGGAGAGGGCTGAGGCTGGCACCTATGACTTGCAGGGCGAGCGTGGCCTGCGCAGAGCCTCCCTCGCTCCTCAGGGTCACGCTGTACTGGCCACAATCCTTCCTGCGTGCGCTGGGGAGGCACAGCCGCACGTAGCCGTCCCCCAGGGCCACCTGGGCGCCCCCGCTGCCGCTGCCGCCCAGCTCGGCCCCATCCTTCCTCCAGGCAGCCTGAACCGGGAGGCAGCTCTGGAAGGGGACCTTCACTGTCACCGGCTTCCCGGCCTTGACCACCAAGGGCTCTCTCAGCGTCTCTGTCACGTCTGGAGCGATGGTGGGCGGATCTGGAGATAAAACAAGGCGAGGGTCTCAAAGAAGACAGGGCACTGGGCCCTGGGGAGTGCAGAAAGAAGCAGCCAGAGAAGGAAGCTGGGACTAGGAGAAAGAAACCCTCCACCCCACCTCACGAGGACTAACGAGGGGAATGGGCTTCTTCTGCAGCAGGAGGGATCAGGATTAGACCTCCCCAGGACTTCCTGGCGAGGAAGGAGAGAAGACACTGGAATAGGGAAGGTGTGGGTTGGCTTTTTAAATCATACTCTCAGCCGGAGGAGGAGATGAGACGCTGGCTGCGGACTGGCCACATTCAGGTGTTTGGAGGTGGGGCTTATCGCCTGGTACCCAGGGACTGTGGGACGGGGAAGGGCAGGGCTGGGCCTCACCGTGGACGGTCAGGGTGGCCTCGCTCTGCTGGTTGCCGGCGACGAAGGTGTACCTCCCGGCCTGGGTCCCCTGCACGTGGGCAATGAGGAGTCTGTGCGCGAGACCGTCCTGCTCAAAGACGACTCCATCCTGGGTGGTGAGCTGGAGACCAGAGCCAGAGCAGGAGAAGGTCACCCCACCCGGGCTCCCCAGGCCAGCCACCCACAGCCATTCACTGATGCAATCGCTGGACACATGCCAACAGCCACATGAGCTGAGTGCCTGTCCCCGTGCCAGGCGTGTGCTCGTGTTCCCCATGCTTAGGACCTTGTTTGTCACCACCTCGTGAGGTAGGTACTATTATTAGTCTCATTTTGTAGACGAGGAAACCAGGACGTTCAGCAACTTGAGGAAGGTCACGTAACTGGTAGTAACAGAGCTGGGATCTGACACCAGATCTAGCTGATGCCAAGGCCCATGATCTGAATGGCTGTGCTCTACCTCCTCCCCAGGTGACAGTTACAGCGGAAGACAGAGGGGCTGTTCAGAGAGGCCAGAAGATGGCATTTGTACCAGGCCTTGAAGGACGGGTAGAAGTCAGGAGGCGTGGGTACAGGAGAGGCATTTTGAATGCAGGAAGAACAGGGCACCGCCTGTCGAGGGAGGCGTGAGGAGGATACACAACATTTTAAAAATCCGCTTTTATTTTAAACACGCCGAGCTGTTGGCCGTTTAAACTTCTCCCCAGGTGGGTACTTGACAGAAATGAAGGATGAAAAATCTTTCTTGCAAAGCCTCTACCCTCTCCTCCCTTTCCGCTTTACCTCATCCCGCCCCCAGTAAAGAGAAGGCATGAGGGGGCAGGTACCTTGACTCCGTCCTTAAACCAGGCGCCGGGTCCCAGGTCACTGGTGAGGGTGCAGGAGAGTGTGGCAGTTTCCCCCCGCTGCACCTCCGTGTCAGCCAGGCCCTGGGAGAAGTGGCCTGTGGGGCCTGGAGAGACACAGAGGATGTCCCCAAGGCCGAGCCTCAGGCCGTGGCCTGCACTGCGCCCTGGGAGGCCACCATGCTGCCGCCAACAGGGCTCAGCCCACGCCAGCCAAGCCAAGCCTCCCGCTTTTCTCAGCGGGACCGGAGAGATCTGAGCTGGTACAGGAGATCTGGGGTGTAAGGTAGATGAAGGGGCCCTCTGAGTCACATGGGTGGGAACTCTGGTGACTCCTAGAGAGTCAGGCCAACAACTCTGGTACTTTGGACATAGGGTTTCAAGATCACATACCCCAGGAGACCTCTGAGCCTCACGCAGGGTGGATCCCTCCTGCACAAGGAGGAAGAAGTTGCTGCTGAAATTTTTTTTTAAAGTTCCTGAAAATGGGGTGCATTGGCAGGGAGAGACTCCTGGGGCTGGAGGCAGAACTGAGACTGACCCAGCATCCTGGTGGCCGGGAGCGGCAGTTGGCTGGAGCCCACTGGAGCCAGCTCAGCTGAGAAGTACCTACCTCGGGCCTCCGTGGAGAAACTGCCAGTGCCAGGCTTGTATCTGGATGTGGGACTCTGGGTGGCATCTCTGCCCTTGCCGTAGACATCCAGCCGGCCCTCTTTGCCACCTCTCCTGCTGCCAAGATGACTTGGGGACTCCCGGGTCCAGTCTTCACGTGGAGGTTCCCCTAGGCACGTTCGGGTCTCCCCCGCAGGAGGCTGCCCCGTACCTCTGGCCTCGTCCACTCTCCCTCTCTTGGCTACTCCAACTTCAGCCCCTGATTGTGCTTGAGATCTGCCCCCGAGTGGACCTGGCCTCCTGTCTGACCTGCCAGACTCTTCCACTCCCCATCCCTCATTCTCCTTTAGGGCCCTGGGACCTTGGGCTGTGCCATTCTCAGCCTCCAGGGACCCTTGCTCCCCAAGGAACCCACTTCCTCCTCTCTGTCCTTTGCCTGCCTGAGCGCTCAGGCCCTGGACCCCTCCTGATCTATCTCCAGAGCCTTTTCTGCCAAAGGGACCATCTAAGCCATTCCAGGCTCCCCGAGGTCCTGGCTCCCCAGGTTTTGGGGTGAGGCCGTTCCCCCACTCAGTGGAATTCCTCTTGCCTAGGACACCTGAGTCCTCTGCACCGCCAGTCCTGCCCCTCCCAGGACCTGAACCTTTGCTATCCAAGGACCATGGGCCTTGACCTTCTCCAGCTGCCTCTTGGCCTGGTGGACCCTCCCTGCCTTTAAAGCCCCCTGGCCCTTCATGGGTCCCACTGAAAGTGGCACCTTTCTCCTGCAGAGAACCGGAAGCCCTGGAGCCTGAGGGTTGGCCTCTAGCACCTGCGCTGCCTTGGCCAAACCCCTGGTCTTCCCAGCCTGGGACCCCAGCATTGCTCTCCCCTCTCCCATCAGCTGGCCCTGGCATTGGCTTGTCCCTTCCACTGGGCCTGGAGCCTCTGTCCAGGACCTGGCCTGCCCCTGCTGAGCTCCCTGAACCTGCTCCTGTCCTCCTGCCTCCCAGCAGTGAGTCCCCACCTCCCTGAGGTGCCAATCCACCCTGGCCAGAAACTCTACCCTTGTCTGCTATTCCTGGGCCTGGTGTCCAGAAGTCCCGTTCAGGTCTAGACTCCAAAACATCCACCCCCACCCAGGTCTCACCTTCCGCTGCCTCCTTACCATCAAGAAACCCAGAACCCCCTCTATTCCCTGCTTGGTCTGCAGACCTGCCCTTTCCCCTGGGAGCCCCTCTGTCCCTAGAAGACCCTGGAATCCCAGAACCATCTTGCCACTCTTCAATATCTGATTTTCCCTTGGAACCAACAGCCTGCAAGGCCTCAGGGATCCCTGAGGTGCCATCGCCCCTAAGACCATTGGTGGACCCCCACCCACCTGGAAGAGTCTGTGGCCCTCCCTGAGACTCTGGCATCCCTGGGACCCTGGGGCCGTCCCTGTGTGCTGTGCCATCTGCAGTGCCCAGCACTCCAGCCACCCCAGAGCCCAATCCAGGGCCTGCCCCATCAACAAGCCCCTTTCTGGCCCTCTCTGGACCATCCTTGGAGCTCATGCCACCTTCTGATGCTACCCAATATCTTGACCCGTGCCTTGTAGCTTTGTGGTCTCTGGGTCCAGCCTCATGTCCTGCTCCAGCCAGTGAGCCTGGCACCCCAAACTGCCCTAAACCATCTCCACAGCGCATTTCACCCTCTGACCCCATTTCCCCAGGCCCTCCTGAGCCTCCCCTATAACTGACCTCACCCCCTGACCCCATTCCTCCAGTGCCCCCTAAGGCTTCCCTATAACCTGCCTCACTCCCTAATGGAATCCTCCCAGAACCCCCTAAAACATGCCTACAACCTGCCTTATCCACTGACCCCATTTCCCCAGAACTCCCTAAACCATCCCTATAGTCTGCCTTGCTTCCTGAACCCCTTCCCCCAGGAGCCCCCAAGTCTTTTCTATAACCAGCTGTATCCACTGACCCCATTTCCCCAGAACCCCTTAAACCACCCCTATAGTCTGCCTTGCTTCCTGAACCCCTTCCCCCAGGAGCCCCCAAATCTTCCCTATAACCAGTTGTATCCACTGACCCCATTTCCCCAGAACC